ACTTTCTCTGTTTCCTTCCAGAAAAGCCCCTTTACTTGACACTTAAAAGAGTTTTTGTTGTTGTTGCTGGGTTTTGGTTCTGTTGCTGTCACCTACACTTAGCATCTCTGTAGCACTTAGAGAATCACTAGGGGTCCCATTGGCTCAGAAATTCTTGTGCTCAGTGGTCAAATAAAGCCCATGTGTAACCTCCTGTTTCACTTCCTGGTTCATATGGTCACAGGATAATTCAGGCTAAAATCGACTTCTAGAGGTCTCTAGTCCAGATCCTGCTGAGGGTCAGCTGTCATGTCAGACTTGGGCTTTATCCAGGTTTCATTTGGCCAACTCAGATGGGAACCTGGCCTTCAGGACATTGTACAATTGCTACAATTTGTAGTAATTTATATAGCTAGGATTGTGCCTGAAAGCAGCCATCTTCAAAGAATAAAAAGCCCCACACCTTTATGAATTACCATTTTCAAACAAAAGCTAACTTATGCACTACAACACTACAAAAATAAGCAGTAATCCATCTTTCATTATGATGCATTCAGCTCTGAAATTTTCTTAAATCATGTGTCCAAAGATGAAAACATTTACATATTTCAATAATGTATACATATAATAATATTCAGAAACATTTATCATATATAATCATCAAGAAGCAAACTTAGTTTGGTTCATAAGCTAACTTCACTTACAGCACAAAATAGTCATTTAGCGTTTGCCATTGCAAATCACAGAGGACACAGTGAAGTTCTGTCCTTACTGCTAATGAAAGAGAAGATTTTCAAGTTTCTCTCTTAGTGACAGCTCTTAAGTAATGCCTGTTACCTCCTTTGTAGCTTTGAGTATGTTCTTACCTTGTTCTTACCTTCTTATCCTCCATGTATAGCCTTCCTGCAACATGGGCCTTTTCAGCCTGTTACTGATTTCTCATCAAAACAACAAAAAACCCCAACTCCTTCAACTGTTAAAACATTCATCTGTACTAAAGAATTTCAGTAGCGTAAAGTGATGATTGTGCTTCATCATCTCAGAGTTTTTTCTTTATAAATTCACCTTCACAGTAACAAGACATAATACTTTTCCCTCTGCTAGGCATGTCGAGGTGATAAACACGATGATCCAGTTACTTTTCGTGATTTAGTAGACAGTACAGAGGGTGAACCCGAGACTGAAGTGGATGCATCGGGTGTCTACACTCTGCCTGCTGGTGCAGACTTTCTCATGTGCTACTCTGTGGCACAAGGTAAAGTTGAAATATTTTACATATTTGTTTCTGATCTTTCCCTGTAACAGTTTTTTTTTCCTTTTTGCAGTCTAAACAAGCAGCAGAGTTCCACATTCTGTTTTGCATGCCTGATTACTAACCATGTTTACTCTAGTAAACAGCCACATACGTTAAGAAAAGAAAGTGAAAATAAACCATCAAAACTTCAGAAATGTTATCTTCACAGCCTTGTTGCGGCACCATCCTCTTTTCCAGGACTGTAGTATTCTGCTATGTTTAAATTTCCCTGTACTATATGGCCGTCTGCCCTGGTCCAGAATGCATCTCGACTCTGCTCCCATCTGCTCTCTTGTAATTTGCAGGAATAATCCTGTGGCCAATGAGCTGTCACTGCCCCAGTCAGTATTCCTTTTGACTGAACCAGAGATCTAAGGGAGCTCAAAGCCATTTCATTTGCACAATTTCCTTCAAACCTGTATAACTGACCAAATATATTGTCAGTTATGCCCATTAATACCACCACTGACTGCACTTACGGATGAAGCTAGCAAGCAGTAGATCTCATGAATATTCTTCAAGTGGAATGACTATTCTTTTAGCTGAATATAATTTTATATTCCTATTCTACAATAGGGTACTACTCTCACCGTGACACTGTGAATGGCTCCTGGTACGTTCAAGATTTGTGTGAGGCACTTAAAAAGCACGGCTCTTCCTTGGAGATCTCGGAACTTCTCACTGTTGTTAACAGGACAGTGTCTCATCGCACTGTAGACAGGTGTAGAGATAGCAGTTTAATAGGAAAGAAACAGATTCCTTGTTTTGCTTCGATGTTAACTAAAAAGCTGTATTTTCTTCCCAAATCTAACAGTTAAAATTACTGGTTAATGGTCACTGCAGAAAATGGAAGAAATGTGATCTTAATTCAAGGAAACTAATACTGTGCTTCTTCTGAAGTCTGTTTTTTCAAATCTTGAAAATTATTCTACAAGATTATTTGCAAAAACACTAGGATCAAACTTGATATTTTTATACATTATTCTACAAAAATCTTAAAGTGATTTTAAACTTGATGGTACAGCTTTATTCATCTCAGGCAATTTGAGGAATGCTGATTGGTGCAAGACCAACAGAGGTGCTCAGATTTTAGTAAAATAAACTTGTTCAAAGATTTTTCTTGACTCTCATATAATTATGGTGCATTTTACTATTTCAAAAACCTTTTAAATGCTGCATTCTTGCTCCAGTAGCTTGCCCAGTTTACAAGAGATAGATACAGACTTTTGTAGAGCATTTTATGAATACCTAGACAGTCTTGGTTTTGATACATTCTAAACTTGAGTGTCCACCTTTACATTTCTGTAATTTATTGAGCTTTTCAGCCACAACTTTTCTATATTTCTCCAAGAAGACAAATATACTAGTTGAGTACCATTGCTGAATTGAAACAAGCCCCATGAGAAATGGCTTCTTTTTGCTTGCACTTCATTTATATTCAAGGTGTAATTAAAGCTTGCTGGTGCTTTGCACCCTTGGAATTAACACAAGCACTAGCAAACCAAGACTACATAAGGCTTGCTTTTAGCATTAACTTGAACATATTTTGGCTTCAACTACATTCCTTGTCAGGACTAAGTTAGCAGCGAAAGCTAAAGCAAATCACTTTCAGTATCACTTACAACTGCCCTGGACATCTCTTGGATTACTCCCCAAAGTACAGCATATGCAGATGTCCCACTTGCTGTTGGATTGGCCTCTCTTTGCCCTTGACCCCAGACAAGTTCATTTCACTGGTCACCATAGGATGTTTCCAGTTGTTACTGTAGAAGCATCAGTAATTTAGATCATGCTCAACAGAAGCAAGTACTTCTTTATTAGTTAACACACACAACAGTTTTACATCATTGATGCATATGCTTAGCTCTGGGGCTTGACGGAGAACTCGAATAGAGAATAATATCATAATGCAAATTTCCTGAGTATAAAATTATTGATTTACTTAGTCTGCTTTACTTAAATCCTTCTATATATCATGCTCTAAGTCATAGGTATTAAATCTCATTATGGTTTCATTTACGCTTTGTAGGAATCATGTATATTTGACTGTTTTGATAATTTTTTTTCAATAAAATGAAAGTGTAAAGCAAAATTTACAGTAAATGAGTTTGATATTTCTCAGCTTTCTAACAATATTTACTTGAAAAAAGCTTAGAGGACCGTATTTCAGATTCAAGTCTAGCCCACTAGTGGTGTTATGCCAATAAGATGAGAGCACAGAGCAGGGAAAAAGGAAGCTATAACTTTGTAGGAATTTTTCGGAACTACTGCTGTGCTATAGCAAATGGTCCTTAAAAGACAGTCCTCGTTCTCAAATGTTCCCTTAGTTTCAGCAGCTTCTTCATATATTTAAAAAAAAAACCCAAGAGATCAAATAATTTTTATATATATTTACTGTAACTTTCAAAACTACAGTGGTCAAAAAACAATTTTCAAGAATAATAAATGCTCATAACATTTTTGAAAGGACAAAACAGTTATTTATAGGAAAAAAAAATCAATCCTTGTCATTGATTTGCTGGATTGGAAGCCTCAGCTGCAGTGGTTGGCGCAGACGCCTCAGCGACTCCTCAGCCTGTCAGCACAAAAGAGTGAGATACATTTAGGCCATTCAGCCAGTTTCCAGATAGCAGAGTGTGTCCTATTGTCCCCACCCCACAGAAATTACAAGATTCCTACTCACAGGCCACAGCAACAAACTATAACTTTTTGCCCTATGTGATTTAGCATATAATACCTTAAGCAACAGTCTTGAACGAAAATTAATAGTAGCTTCAATTTTAAGGAGACATTAAGCACGCGGTTGGACACGGAGTGTGGAGGCAGGACAAGGGAAGGAGAACTGGGGGTGGAGTGAGTGAAGGTTTGCCTTCCTTGTCCCTTCTCTGCTGAGGGCCACACTGTTTCTCCCAGGCTTGCCCAGCAACTTTACAGAACACGGGAGACTGCACAGAAGCCCAAGCACCTTGCCTCAGGCCTCCTGCCCCAAGCACCAGCATTAAGCTGTCAAAAGCCAAACTTGTCACAACAGTCTCCTTGCAAGGTAGGGAGACTGTATTACCACAGCAGCGCAGCAAACATGCTGTTTTTGAAAGCAGCACAGCTACTCTATTAAAAGAGCTGAAGATGCAAATACTAAGCAAGCAAAAATATGCAAAATATTTACATATGCAAAAAATGGACATGTATGACTGACAATGTGACTTATTTTTCAATGAAATTTATGAAGGTCTCTTTCTGATGATCTGCTACAGCTGTGTGTATGTCAGTGACAAACATACCATATGGTTATTTAAGCAGCTGAAACTGGTTAGTAAGTAATAAGCAGTTCTGAGTATAAGTAACTAACCTTAAAGTCAGTTTTCTATTAACCTAAGTGTTTACTGAGAAGTCATAGCTTAGGGGCCATCTCATTATTTAAGGACTTGGTGTAAATACCTCTGCTAGGTCTTCTTTTAGCTTATTGTATTGTTGCACGTTGAACCGCTGGCTTTTGGATTTCCGATAGAAGTAGTGGAGGAACTGTCTGTCTTTAGCATGTGGGTAAATGTAGTCCTGGTAGAGAAAGCAGGGAACATTGTTGAGGTTAGCAAGAAAAATGGGCAGGTGCCAGCAGCTTACGTGTACGAAAGTTTTCAATAGAAACTTAGCCTGTTTCTGGAGCTAACCTAGTTTAACACATACTTGGAGAATATGCTCAGTCTGAAGGAATTTTCAAACATGATAAAGGCCCATCTTGATTTTCATGACTGGAGCCATCTGAATGAATGGAAGTGACTTTCCAAGGAGTCAGAGAAAGCTCAACTGCTATTTCTCAGAGATATATTTAAAAAGTGTTCAATAGGTGCACTGTTGGCTGTTCAAAAAAGCCACAAAGTGATCTCTATTTCTATACAAAAAGTAGGAATGCCTTAGCCCTTCTTAAAAATCAGTAAGGAGTAAAACTTGCATTCAGAGCTGCCTGTTCATAACCATGTCACCTCTTTTTACTAAATGAATCTGACGTCTCGAGTCCTACTTTGGCATTACGGAAGCCAGTGTTGGTCATTCTTTTGCATAGCTCCCTAACAAAAAAACTTTGCATAACTCAAAGCTCACCATGAAGGTGTCCATTTTGTGAACAGAGGACACAGCTAATACAGGGAAAATTCTCTAAGCAATACATGATTCCAGGACTAGTCTGCATTCTGCAGTTCAGTGCGAATCTACTTTTTATGTTACTCAGCATTTTGTTTTCTTAACAACACCCAATTCTCCCCATACTTCAGCTGTCACAGATTTGCCTCCATTCCTTCAAAGTGAAGGAAGAGTATTCAGGCTATGGAGAAACAGCACAAAATAAGGTAGATGTATTTCAATACTGCAATTGCCAGATTTCTTGCCAGTTTGCCCCTCTGAACTGCTTGTATGTGAACTCCAGCAAATGAAAGAAGTGGTTTGCTGATCAGGAGATCATGAGCACTAAAGCAGTGCTCATGTCCTGATCATGAGCACTAAAGCAGTGCTCATGAACATCCACAGCACTGCTACTTGCTCTCTCTTTACAGCAATGGGCAAAGTGCTAATTTGATTTCAAAGTGATCTGGAGAAGTTAAAATAAAAGGGCACATTCCACTCATCAGCTTTGATTCGCTATGTTACAAAATCTACAGCAGTTCTGCAGTTCACATAGAATAGCACCTGCCTTGATTTCACACCGTGCACAGCCATGTTAGAGAACAACCAAGTGCCCCTCTGATGGCAAGGCTACTGATTTACTTTCTTCATAGCCCAAGCACTGTGATTTTAGTAGTCAATCTTTTACAATATTCCAGACATACACAGAAGGAGGACTCACCTGTTTAGTTAGAACAAAATAAGCATAAAAAGCCATGGCACTCCCATAAGTGATGAAGTAGGTGACTGGCTCCATGATATCCCAGGAATAGACCCACCATGTGAGCCACGCCAAGGCTCCCCCTTGTGTTGACATCAGAGCTAAGCCCACCCAGAGAAGCCTGGAGGTCTTTGCATCTGCACTGTCTGCGATTCTGTCTTTCATCTAAGGAAAAGAAACAAGAAACCTGTTAGACAGAATATGACTGCAACTCATAAGCAGCTTTTCAGCTATGTTCTCTGTTGCTGGGCCAAATCCTTTTGTCAGGGCTTTCCTCTTACCTAACCACCCAGCCGAGAAAAGATGACTGAAGTCCAAAGGCATCAGGTAAGTCCTAGCTGTTGTGCCCCAGGAGATATTGCTGTTAATCTCGCCTTCCCACTATTAGAGATTTACATCTCCTGGATTTCCTTTTATCATTCAAGGCAGCCCTGGTTAATGCTTTCCGAGCCTGGTCCTCACAAAGCAGGTCTGAAGCCAACAGTAGCAAGGAAAAGTTGTTCATCCCATCAGGCTCTTTCCAGCTTTTTCCCCTCATGCTGAGTTAGCGTAGCCTTTCCTAAAACATATTTCGTGTCTTCCTTTCTTGCATTACAGCAAACTCTCGTCCAAACAATTTGGCTGCTCTGGTGATCACAGAAAACCCTAGCCAAAGCTATAGATGATTTCTACCTGTTTGTTGTTCCCCCACCACTTCTGTAAATGGTATTTAGAACTGATGCAGCAAAAGGTAGACTCGCTCCTAACCCTTGCCAGAAAAAGGCTTGTTCATTACGGTTTTTCTAGTTCTCTGGTTTCTACCTGAGGAACGTGCACAGCAAGGAGGAGGTGAATTGAGCTGAAAATAATCATGTATTTGAAAAGACTCATTTACCTGACAAATATAGGAAACACACCCCATCCATTCATGCTCATCTTTTCATATGACAAAAGCCATTATTGCTGAAAAGAAACACTTTTGTGATTTACAGTAAAAATAATCCCCCTTTCCAACCTGTTCAAGAGGCAGCAGCTGTTCTTTCAAATATTCCAGTTTCTGTAGTAATTCTCTCTCTTTCCTGACCTGGTGATCTTCTATGTGTATAGCCACAAACAGTCTGTGAACCAAGGATTTGATATCTTCCATTTCAGTAGCATGCTCACTGCTCAGCTTACCTAAGACAAAAATGTTTCTCTCAAAACACTTCAAAAGCTCATCCTCTTCATTCTCATCTCCCACCCGTCAAAAAAAGCAGAAACATCAGATAGAGCAAAAGCAAAGAATGATTTTTTCTCCAGACAGGTTCCTGTTCTCTGAACCTTTTGGATGCCTGTCACTACATAAAATGAGATTAATTGGGTCATTAAGTGTTCATGTTGTTCATGAGTTGTTCAAAGGGTTCATACCTTTTTTAGGAGATGACACACTGTACGTTTTGCTGTTAATAACAAGTTTAAAATCATTCATCAGTAAGACTTCCATCAAGGTTGCATCAGAGACCTTGCTACCATCTGCAGAAGACAGATTTCAGTTAGAAATAATTTTAATCATAAAGGATCTTAAACATAGCTTAAAAAATAGCTACTTGAGAAGTAGAGAACTAGACTCTCCAGTACAAGCGAGACAAGTAATCACAGAGGTGTTAGCAGAAAAAGCTCTGGAGATTCCTCTTCTGCTCTTTTATGCAAAACTTGACAGGAATGCTATCCCATCAGCAACACAGAAAACAGGCTGAGAAGACAAATACTCACATCTATTTTCAGTAAGTTAGAACCGCAAATGAGGGGGAAACTGTGACATTGAGTGAGGAAAGTTCCTTTTTTTTTTTTTTGTATTTGTATTTGTTGCACTTCTCATTCCCCTTCTACCAATTTTCTTTGCAAAAAGCCCTTTCACCCAAAAGACAGTATTCGTCTCTGCCTAGCGCTTGCAGAAGATCTGCCTTTGATAGATGGAACCCAACTTTAATAAATTCATTGGCTCTTTTCCAATTGCATAGACACACTGCAAGCCCTTCCCAAGGCATTCTCAGCACAGCAGACCTTGCAAGATTAGTACTCTGGCAGCATTTCTGATCTCTCAATCAGGAAAAAAGGTGCATCCAAATGAGAAATGGATTCTTCCTATCCGACATTTAAAAGACAAGAACAAACGTGTCTAAAACCTCTGCTGAGAATTCAGAGAGCCTAAGGAGCACAGTGCTCAGAGCGCTGCTGCCGGACATATGACACAGCTGTGGTGCGAGGGCTCCAAAGCCAGGGCTGCTGAGGAGCAGAAGACCTTTTTAACCTTCATTTCCTATACATAAAAAGAGCACCTTCCCCGGTGCCTATGGAGGGGTGCACAGGAGGTGGAAAACAGATGCTTTACTCCTGATGTGAATAATGATCAGGCTATGCAGCTTAATGAAGGTTTCTGTATGTAAGCATTTGTTAAAGTGCTACTGCCCCAGCTCCTCCATCTGTCTCCATGTGTCCACTATAGAAAGGCACTGCTGAAAACCCCACATCTGCAATTATTTATTCACTGGATTTCTTCTGTTTGGTCCCATCTGCTGGGATTTAGATTATGGAACTCTATGAGCGAATGCACCAGCTGCCTCTCTGTGCCCCACTCTGTGGGTAGCAAGGCGAATCTTGAAGACTGTCACTTTCAACACAAAATTTGAAATTTTAGCATGCCCTTCACTCTTATGGGGGAGGTTGGTTGTTTTAGTATAAAATTAGTATAAAATTTAGTATAAAATTTGATCAACACATTCAGCAAGAAGATACTTTCTCTCTTATACTAAGCATAGGTGTTGAAATGTGGACAATGTCTAAAGAAGTTTTTCAGGGCTAGGATTATATCTGCAAAAATGAAAGTGAGTATCAAATATGCTTCTATGCCTTCAATTAAAGTTGGGTTTAACCTAATGACCAAATGAACAAAAAAAAAAAAAAACACGGGACTGTCAAGCTGTTTTCAGTTCCTTTTCCAAGAGCAAAGGACACATTATGAATGTACCCAGCTATAAACCTCCCAACCAAACTTCCTTTACTCCCTCCTCCTTCCGTCTACGTATTACCTGATGAAAAAAGCCTGACTGCTGGCTGCGTTGCTACTTACTTTAAATATGATCACAGAGGACCAGAAAAGAAAGATGTCAGAGAAACCTGGAAAGATTTATTTTCTTAAAAACAGCATGACAAAGAGAAACTATTTGAAAATAACAGAGGAAGTTATTTGGATGTAAGGAAGGCTATACTAGCATGTCCAACCCTGCTTTTGAAATAAGCCTTTCCAAGAGGACTCCAATATTGATACCTGAAAAATAGACAAAGCCCAGAACCATTCAAAGGAAAGAGACAACAGAAATTCAAAGTACCTCTTGCAAAGACTTCTGCCTTCTCAATTCCTTTATCTTCTCTCTCAACATCCTGCAGAAATGCTCCAACTGTTACTACCATTGGCTTGATAGTAAACTGACAGCGCTCTCCTCTTGTGGGCAAAGTAAGAGTTACCACAGGAAGACCATATCTGTAATGAACAGTCACTTCTGGGAGGGGGGAAAAAGAAAGCATGGTGAGTGAAAAAGCCATACTGTAAGCTCTAAATAAAAACTTAGCTGTTTTAAAACACATGTAAAATAAAGAAAAACCACTCAGTACCTTCCGGATGAATGAATGCAGTACTTCCATTTCTAGGCCACTATGTGCAACAAGCAAATAATTTAATCTCACTCTACCCCCATAAAATAAGTATGTGCCCTCCTGGTTTTAATCAGAGAGCAACATAGAGCAGGGGTGGAGGTGGGCTATGAGGGGGAATATAGGCTAGTGTAACACTAATAATGCCCACTCCACATTTTTATTTTTATTTATTTATTTTTTTACACCCCTGCCCAGAAGCTGGAATCGAAAAACCTGTTTATGAAGACAGGAAAGAAGCCGATGGGAAATGTTACCATCAGATGGCACCAGTGTGCTGCAACATGCTCCTTGGTGGTGTATCCGGCTTCTAGTTTGCCTCAACAGCTGCACCTGTAACCCAGACCAAGGGAATTGTTTTTTGGAAAGGTTAACACATAAGATTCATTTAGTAAAAGGCAGTATCCAGACCATCCTCGTGGTCTGCTTCTGTGTGATCTGCCAGAAGAGACATATTGCTGGAAAATCCATCACTCAATCAGTTTCTTCTCTTTAAAGGACAGAAACATCCCTTCTAGAAGGTGCAAATTTTGTTAAGGGTATTAGAATACCGCTTTGGCTTGCATGGCTTATAAATGACAAAAAAAAATGAGCGAGCCAAACAAAACACCCCCAACCAAAACCATGTTCCTGAAATACTTCACTGTAACTCTTAGAATAAGCTCTCTCTGCTCTCCTCCCAAGAATTCCCAACAACTTGAAAGATCCACCACCTCCGTGGTGCCTCAAAGGAGAAGTGCCAGGAAAGCAGGAGCACCAGGGGAGCAGAGGCACCCGCTTGAGGCCCATAATGCAACCTGAAGAAACATGCCTGGTCTCAGCACAAAGCCTCTTGGGACTGAGCCTTGTGCGCAGTGACCGTCTTCGCAGTAGTGAACAAAACGAAAGCCAGCAGGGCCTCCGGTCTCTCCCCTTTCTTCATAATTACACATGTGGCAGAATAACCAGAATACACGAACCAACAGGTTATTATTGATATTCATGGTATTACAAGATGATGATAGCAGTGCAGCTTGTCCAAGTATCAAAGATTTTTTTTTTT